AGATTCTTAATAGGACCATCAATGGTAATAAAAAAACCGGTAACACTTTACTTGAAGGGGTGTGCATAAGACTGACATGAAAAAACCTTCATATTCATGACATGTGTCATGTCATGATTATGTAGGTGTCATGTCATGATTATGAAGGTGTCATGTCAGTCTTATGCACACCCCTTCAAGTAAAGTGTAACCAAAAAACCTTGTTTTCTGTATATGAAGGCCTTTTTCTTTGCATTTAAATTTTCTGATCTTTTTTATTCATGTCTCTTTGGCCTATTTGTCATTGTTTTTGAGAAATGTTTATGCATACAGTTACACTGTATTGCAGCATGCTTCTGAAGATATATACATCAGCCTCTTAGAAGTTTACTCAAAGTTACTTTTTACTAAGGATGATTGTGTGCAATGTTCCGGTTGAAAAGCTTGTTAGTTATCCTATCTGCTGGCACTCTGAGCTGGAGTTTTTACAGCCAGACCATCTCCCCCTTGGCCTTCTCTCACCAAGCTACCATCCCATGTCTCACTGGATGAGCAGCTTTAAAGCAAATTTATATACTCCAGAGAAGTAACTGGATACTGTTAAAGTCTGTGGTCTCTTTAAAAAGCCTATATTTTATCTATTTCCAGCAATATGTTTCCATACCAAAATAGTCAAAACAAGCAGAAGAGTCATAGTGCTGTGATGACTAACCCATTTGCCTGGAAGTTTGCTTATTAGGTAGGATACATCATTATTTCTTATATTTACTTTTAATATTTATGTCATGAATTATTAATTATCCTTAGGTTACAGTTTGAATAGGAACAAAATTAGTTAACAAAATTAAACTCATGTTTAGGATATGGAAGCTGATGTTAAAGAAGTTTAGAGGAATGATGGCGAGAAATGATGGATGTTAAGCAAATAAATGCATATGGGATACATACCGTAGATTAGTTCTTTTAGAAGAAGATTTTCAAGGATGCACATAAATTGCTTTTGCTGCTAAATATGATGCAACAATGAAAAGAAAATAATAAGGCTGAACCATAGCGTGCCCATAAAAATGCTGCGGTTTCAGATGATGATGAAAATACATGAGAAATGTACTGCTTGGGTGTGAAAAGGTTGATAAGATGGATCTGGGGTTAACGAAGTGAGATGAAGATAGGAAGGCGGGCACACAACATCTGGATGGTAGTACTAAGCTTGGAGGCTGACATTACTATGATGATCATTATTTATGGAGTTTGGGGTCAGAGGTGGAATCCGATATCCGCAGCTAGTCCCAATGAAATGTAATTACCGAACAAAGAGACTTGCTGTAGATGTGCACTTTCAGCCATCAGACCCACACTCTCACACCATCCGCAGAATACGCAATGTGCTTCAGGTAAGAAAGATGGGTCATGAAGGTTGCCACTAATTTATTTAACTATGGGTGACTGCATTGGTTGAAAGTCATGGTGCCTTATTTGGCGGTGCTCTCAGTTATTGTGAATCCATTAGGTGTGGACAAACATCACATACAGCTTTCCAGAACAGGATAAACCCAGACAGATCAGAATAATTCAGATATTTTTTGATTGACAATGGAAATTTTGAAACAAACAACAACAAATGGATTTCAGAGAGGTTGCAAAGTGATACCACAATAATTCTGACTACTTTATTATTATTATTTAGTGCATATAAACAGGCTATGTCAAACATTAGGCTAAATGTTTTTTTTTTTTTTTAAATCACTGTTGATAACGTCTTTGCTCAGTCTTGAGAATTTCCACCCTCTGACCTTAAACCAGTAATGAACTCCTATATTTAAAGTGGCAGATGGAATGGGATAAATGCCATTATTTCTATTCAATAAATGCTAGTATAAGAATACGTTTTTTTTTGTTTTTTTTTACAAATTGTAGTATGATCATGTCATTTTTACTAGGTGTCGTTTAGGTGACTCAGGATTTACACATGGTTATTTATTGAAAGGTGAAGAATCACCATCATTCCTTTCTTGTCAAACTCAATTGATCATATCATATTCTATCTTAAGGCCGGGACACACCAAGCCGACTTCAAAGTACTAGCGGCGACGAAAGCCAACGGTGTTGTCGCCTCACGTCGGCAGCGTCGGGCCAAAAAGCTGCGCTCGAACACACCGCACAGACCGAAACAAAGGTATACGAGATAAACGCATATATGCGAAACGTAAACAAAGCAGCGCATTTTGAATATCAGTAACGTTGATAACTTTAATCATTTTAAGCGGCTCATGTTGTTATGAAAACATTCGCGTATTAGAATGATTGGGAAAGATCACGTAACATTTAAACAACCTTCTGTCTGTACCGCCTTCATTTACGTACTTGTTTTCATCACTTTCACTTTAATTCTCGGGCACTGACTCGTTCGCTAAACTGAACATCCAAACAGAGCTCTCACTCGTGCCGACGTCCCAGACGCCGATTCAACATGTTGAATCGGGCAAACTGCCGCCGACATGAGCCCGACGAGAGCCGACGAGTGGAACACACCAAACAAACTAGCCCGACCGTGTCCCGGCCTTTACTGGACAGCACTGATTTTAATCTAAATAGGCAACATTTTTATTCAGAGATGTCTAAGTGGTGTATTTAAAAAAAATATCATGAATGTATTTTAGATTTTTTTTACATTTTGTATTCTTAAATGTCTTATATAACGTTTTTTTTTAGCAGTAATTTTGTGACTACTGCTATAAACTTTGTTCTTGACATGAAAATAGCATTGCTGCTGTCCAAACAAACAAACAAAAACAAAACAAACTCAGTCCTGAGCTTTGAAAAATACATTAAAGAGATTGAAAGATTTCAGTTAAAAATGAAATGTCTGTCCTCATTTCCTGAAAGATTCTTTGGCAAACCCAATGTTTTTTTCTATGGCATTGCTATGAAAACCCACTTTTCAAAATTTGTATTTTTTTAAAATGTGTACAGCTTTCCTTCTCTAATTTTCATTTTTGAATAAACTATCACTTTACCTTAAAATTAAAATGTTTTATTTGCTTTTCATTTGGCAGATCATTTATGACTGTAGTCTGTTTTTTTCTGTTTTGTTGGTCATCTGAAGTGCCCGAGGTCATGATCCACTTTCATTCTCACCTTTCTTCAGTTACGCCAGATGGTCGGGCATCTGATTTAGTGAAATCGTTGCCATTAGATCATCGTAAGTGAGGTATAGTCAAGTGACATCTTCTTGCCTGGTTGCCTCTTGCTACAGTATAGTTCCCATTGGCCTCTCTGCTCACTGCTGAGTCTTTGCTTTTCAATGGCCCCATGGGTCAGTGCCCATCTGAGCATGATATGACCGCCAGAGCTCTACTGTGATTTATATCTCTGCTTCTCATTCCTTCTAAACTTTTGTAAGTGGGTGATTCCTAGCCTATATTTGCTAAAACTCATGCCAACAACATTTTTTTTGGTGTCCTTGATGGAAAGGTTTAATATTTCTAACCAAGCTCTGGATGATTGAAGGAAATTTAGGAGCGCAATTTCATTAGTAATTTATTTCAGTGCATTTGATTGCTCACTAATCAGCCATCGTTCTTTTTGTCTTGGAAATTAATCCGATGATAATCTTACAGACTCTGAGACCAGTTTTAAGGGCGTTTAAGGCTAGACCAGTATGTCTGAGCCTCCCTTGCTCCTGGCTAATCTAAATTGATCCGAATACGGGGGCCCTGTTACCCGAGGATAACTCAGCGGGTGCTGTCCAATACAATGAAGGATAGAGGGTTTCTGCTGGTGTGTTCAACAGGCCTACTGCGCCTTTGCGCAACATCGCACTCACACAAGATAATCAAATGACCAGTGCTATAAAGAGAGCTACATTTCATTTATCTGGCTGAAATACTGTCTAATAAACTATAGCTCACTCTCTCTTTCTGACAGGAGCATTTTGATACTGGCGCATCATTTATTTTACCCCAATCGTATCCCATTACTGTGGCCGTATGCGGTAATGCTGACCTAGTCTCCTCTGTTTCCTCCTACAGTGTTTTATTATCCTCATTGTTTCTCTTGTCCTCTTTATACTGCTTTAAACTGACAGTGGGGTCTCTAGGCAAATGCGTCCTGCACTTGTGTTTGTGTGTCGACTGTTCCACTAGGTAAGATAGACGACACTCGAGAAGAAGGACTGGAATATCCTTAAACTCACACACCAGTGAAACTCAACCAATTCTCTAGAGCTTTGTCGAACGGTTTTGGCACAAACCTCCCAGGAAACCTACTAAAGGCTTACAAGTATGTGAGGATCTCTCATGACAAAGCCAGTGCAATGAAAGCGAGCATTTTTAGTATCACTTCGTTTGACTTTGCCTTTGCTGGAAAACACAGACTTTTTCTTTCTGTGGAGGACTGAGGTGAATTCTGTTTCAACATGCTTGAATGAAAGAAATAGTTCACAGAGTCATTAAAATTTTGACTTTCCTCTGTGGAACACGATAGACGATAACTAAAGATTTTTGTTTTTAAGTCAATTTTTTTTTTAATAATTAAGTAATAATATAACAATACAAATATAATAAAACAATTATATAATGTATATACTATATATATATATATACATACACAGATTTATTCTAAAATACAATACAATGTACACATATAATATAATATAATATAATATAATATAATATATTTTGGGAGAAAAACATTTATTAAAGTTTCCTTTTTTATATTGTGCTTAATAGATAAATATTGAGAATGTAAATGCAAAAAAAGTAGGTGCTTACAAACCTCAAGAGATTAATTATATGGTTTAACAGTATTATCAGAAAAATACTAGTCGCTGCGCCCCCTCTTACTTTATCTTAGTGACTAATTGTCCTTTAAAGGCTATACAAGGAACACGATGAACTAAGCAGGAGCGACATCTCGCTAGGGCTTTGTTTCAGCATTCTACTTGTCTTCTCTTTCTTATTTTGCTGCCTACTTTACCCGTTTCTTTCTCTCTCTAAGCAGTGTTTTTTTGTGTCTCTAAGCAGGTGGGAGTGGAACTTAGAGTGGAGAAAGGTGCAGAGACAGACCGACAGCTGGAAAGAAGCAAACTAGAACAGACAGCAGCAAGAGAGAAGCATAGAAGAGGAGGAACACAGCATGAATGTAGCATGGAGGTGAAGGAGCGTCGGCCTTACTGCTCTCTCTCTCGGAGCAGGAGAGAACGAGTGAGAGACTGGGAGAGGGAAGGAGACAGAGAGGAGGGGGAGGGCTACAGGGAGGGTCCCGGCAACCGCCATCACACCGGCTCATCCTCCGTCCTTACCCAGAAGTCCTATAGCTCCAGTGAGACGCTGAAGGCCTTTGATCAACACCCATCCATCCAGGGGCTTTATGGGCATCGCATGCCAGACATGGTGCCAAGGGACACTGAGGAATACAGAGCTCCAGGTAAGTGCTCTTTAACATTCACCATATGGACAGGAGACTCTGGAGTCCTTCAGGCTTGCAAATGTGATGTTTTTTAAAACCAACAAGGAAAAGAAAAACAGGCGTTTGAAATGCTAAAAACAAAACCAAAAAATAAGAAATGCAGTATACAGCACACAACTGAATAAACATGTATCTATTGACATAAATTCACTCTAAAAAGATTTTATGGTATATAAAAATTATTTTGCATCAGATTTTTCAGCTTGCACAATATAATATTGTAATGAGAATCTTTCTAAATTAAATAAGTCCATTATAGCATACTGGGATATATGACCGGTCAGTAACGTGACCGAACTTCACATTGACCTCTAACCCAAAAAGGAGCTAAATCTTCAGATTTAATTCAATTTTATCCAGAAATAAATCCCATGTCCTTGACAAAACATTCTAGACCATAAAGAGACGACATTATTTTCCAAGTACATTTTAGGTCAAAGATCATTTCATAAAGTTTGCCTTAATTGGATATGAAATTAAATCCACACAGAAAAACAGCCATTATTAAAAATAATAATAATTATAATAATGAACAAATATTTTTTATTTAAAGAAATTAAAGCAAGCAGTTTTTATTTTATTGTTTTGCTGTTCAATAAAACACATATACAGGCATTATTTCTACAATAAAACAAATGATAAAAGAAAAAGAATAAAATAAGTCTTTAATATCACTATAGTTGCAAAATTGTTACCAGATATGTATGCTTTCAATCCTGGATATCATTTTATTTTATTACTTTAGATTATTTTTGTTTTTATTTTTTTTGTATTTTCCCTCTCTTTTTCTTATTAACATCAATTACATACAATATAACATGGGCAGCTAATTCTTTATAACTCTTAAAGGAACTACATTGCAGACCATTTACTGTTCAATGAACAAATTTTTCCAAATCAATAAAAGTCTGATCGTATGGGTTGCAAACAGCAATTTAACAGCTGTGTTGCACTGTGATCCAACACCTACTTTTTATTTCTTCAATATCTTGAATACCTTTTATATACTGTAGACCAAGCCGCAAAAATAGTAGAGGTTGTTTTTTTGCAAAGCACTAATTATCTAGAAATGTAAGCCCTTTAATGAAATTTTAATTAGATTAATTGACTAAGTTACATATATGATTTCAGCCTGTCATTGAAGCAGTCTAAAAGAAAGTATTTTCAATCAACACAGAACAGTTAGTCAAAACACTTTTGTTAGACAGCTGTATTCAGGTTGGGCACCTTCATTTTCATTTCATTTTTAAATTTGATAAAGCCCACCAGACACTCATTTGCTGATTATTCACAAACTATTCAAACAATTTTATAAATATTTGATGGTTTATCATGATAAGACACTTTTTAAGTGGAAGGGTAGGATACTGCTCATTCAAATTTAAATTCATTAGAAATACACTTAGTTGGTTAATTGTGCTTTATAGTGTGCTCCATAACCTTAGGCTGTTACACTTAAGGGGATGTCTTTAATTAGCAGCCGTGTTTGTGCCTGATCGGCACAAAAGCCGAAGGAGAGAGATCTTGCCTGTATTCATGATACAAATGTTCTGTCATATTATTTTAATCACAGCCTGGCTAAATCGTGGCACTTTGCCCTGCATTGGCTTCCACAGTTTGCAGTATTTCAAAATGTGTATTTCAGATAATGCCCTCATGTGGTAATTAATGTCAGCACTTGTGTTGAGTTATTTTGTTTCGTATCTATGAGTGTACTCATAATTTAAATTCTGGTGTATTCATTTTCATGTGTCACCTACTCTGTGGGCTTTTAGCCATAAAGCACTCAGCATATGCTAGCAGGTACAGGAATATGGTTTTAAAAGCAGAGCTGAAGGAAGTAGAGGGGTGGTGAGTCTCAAGGTGAATTTCAATCTGAAGTGGAACAGTTTCTATTTTGTACTGTGTAGTAAATCCTCAGATTTTCTTGTGTTGGAAGAGGTAGAGCTTACCCTCATTCAGATTCAGCTGAACAGATATTCACGCTGAAACAGAAAAGAAGATCGTAAATCATAAAAAGATAATTCATTTAGTAAGTGAAATAAACCTATACAACAAATAATGCACACTGTTAAGAATCAAATATCAATGAATTATAAAATACTAGACTTTTTTAATAGGCTCTTTTTGCCTTTTATATTTTGAGTAGGTATGATTTTATTTCTACATATTTTTAAATGAACATACAGTGGGTACGGAAAGTATTCATTAATAAATCTGCAAAAATGTCAACGATTCTGTGTTTTTCTGTCAATATGGGGTGCTGTGTGTACATTAATGAGGAAAAAAAATTAACTTAAATGATTTTAGCAAATGGCTGCAATATAACAAAGAGTGAAAAATTTAAGGGGGTCTGAATACTTTCCGTACCCACTGTAAATGAAAATATGAAAATAGTATAACAGAAATGTTAATGAAAAAATGAAAGTATATTTCTGATGCTGTGTTAAAACAAACACGTAAAAGAGACTCCCCAAGTCCAACTAAACATTATTTTTAATCTCAAAATGTGCCCATAATTAGGTAATCAATATTATGTTTTGTTCTGCCAAAACTGTCTGAATGTTACTGTTGCTTATTAGTTTCGCTTGGTTTGTCATTTTATATACTGAGTAAAAATGTATTGATAAGGCTAATTCTGTTTGTGACGTTATTCTTTTGAACAAAGGCCACTTTAAATTGAGTATTCACTGTTACCGAAATTCATTTTTCTCTATGAAAAGGTAGCAATAAAAAATATGAAGGAAAATGTGCAACACGCAAAAAAAAAAGTTTACTTATTTTGTGTTTTCTTAAAACATCAAATCAATCTTTGCATTGGTAGGGAGAACAAAAACACAGATGTAACAAAAGCACAGATCTTCAAAATAAATGAAAAAATGATATATATTCATTCCCTGGTTAGAAAGAATAGTCACCTCAGAAATGACAAACGTGAACTTGGGAACATAAAACTGCTGTTGTTTTTGCAGCATCTTTATTTAAATGCTTTAAATATTTTAATATAAAAGTGGATATACTGCAAGAGTTTGAATGCAAGTTTAAATAATTAAATAGTGTGTGCGTGTGTTTTCAGCAAGTTCACAGTTATTTTGTGTATTACTTTTTATGCATACACTCTCTGTATTAAGTATGCACTTTGAATCTTGCAGGCCAGAGTCTGTCACTGAGGCAGCTTGGGATATGCGGCCCTGCTCCTCGCCGTGGTCTGAGCTTCTGCGCTGAGACCGGACTCAGTCATCATACACAGCTCAGCAGAGCAGACCCTATCCTGAACGCAGGGGGCATTTCTCCCGACTGCGCCATGCTATGGGTTAAGGCACACAGACGGGACTCACAGCTGTCCAGCCGGTCCAACTCTGTTTTAACGCTCACAGACACAGAGCAGGACAACAAATCGGATCAGGAGAATGGTAAGTCCACCTGTGTTTTATTCTCAGTAGTAACCTCACATTGAGCAAAATTCCCCGATAGTAAATGTTGGTGATGTAAAAACTGCAAAAATGGGAAAATACCCCTGAGCAAGTCAAGGCAAAGTCACCTTGAGTCACTCAAGGGCAAGGATGTAATTGGTTAGAGCTAACAATCGGTAGCCAATGACTGGTTGAGGTGACGGTATTAATGGATCGACTGGTTACATTTGCAGCCTAAGGGGCACGGTGGGAGTTATAGGCATTTCAGAGAAAATAACATAATTTCCTGAAGATTATGAGCAAACGATGCAGAGAACTGCTAGACACTTCCTCTGGGTCTGTGCCGAATCGTAGATGGCTTTGTTAAAATCAGTCATATTCGTGCGCAGATCCACAGGGTGTTGCTGGGCCTGCGAACAAACGCTACGGTGGATGAAGAGGGGCCCACTGGTTTGAAGTGCAAATTGGTGTGCGTTGGAATCCTTAATGCCTTACGGATTAGGGAATGCGTTTGAAAAAGCAAATTGTCTATATATGAAATACATGCATGTCAAAGCACATACATCTGTATTTTAATTTGATTTTTTTTTTCTGAGGACGCATAAATAGCTTTTTTCCTGCAGTGAGCATGGTGGACAAAGTTTATTTGCTGTTGTTGTGATGTGTCTAGTTGGTTTTGCGTTCAAAGGAAAAAACAGAATAGTGTGTGCCAAGCTCTTTTTTTATTATTCACATTCATACATTCACTACTGAGTTATTGCAGCATATGCAAGGTAAGTAGGGAAAAAAAAAGTAAAGATTTAAAATTCTTCTGCCATGAAGTGGATATTTTTGACAATATGGGCATTTGTTGCAGAAAATGTTGCTTGAAAAGGGAAAAATAGGGGAGTGTAATCCTACTCATTGTAGGCTAAACATTTCTAATGGAGGATCTGTAGTGTCTCATGTTCAGCGTTCACGGCATTGATCAAAGGAAACCGCATCTGAAATGCACACGCTCAATTTACATGTCACATTAGACACTATTTACTGCTGCTGCCTCCTCGTTTGGTGTGATATAATGTTTAATATAATGCAATAATTCACTCTTGAGAAGCTCTTGTCAGTTTAGTTTAGAATATGTACACTAAAGGATAAACCAAGTAATATAGCGCTATTTAAGTTCACTAACATTTAATATTTAGATTTCAAGCAGAGGGATGCAAAAGTCTTGAGTCTACATTAAAAACCTGGGATATAAAATCTCATTTAATAGTGGAAATAATGTTATTATATGTATACTTTGCAATGAAAAAAAATGTATTTTCTATTATAAAAATGACGAAGAAATGTCACTGGTAGTCTCATACTTTTGGAACCCATTGTGTTTGAAATTTGTTCCTTGTGTAGGAAACTTGTGTATAAGGCAAAAAAATAGCCTGGTGTTTTTTCAAAAATACCCTGGCAAAAGTTATATACGAAATGTTTGATTCAGACATGCAGGTGAGTAGTATTTGACCAGCATATTCAAAGCCATTTTTCTTCTTTTTCTTTGCTGTGGATTAGGTCTGGGACTTGGTCCGTTTGAGTCAAAATATAATGATGTAGCTGAGAGCGGGCTGTCTGCTTCACAGCACTCCATTAAGAGAATGAGGTCAAGTTTCTCTGCACAGTCGTTCAGCTTCTGTATCTCTCCCCATCTTTCCCGAAATCTCTCCAGTCTGCTATGCAAAATACGATAAAGCTGTATTATAGCACTGTGCTCTATGTATCCAGTCTCCTCCAGAGGGACTAGTCATTATTATATAAAGTTATAGATGACTCTGGAGAGTGACTATGCTTATTTATTAGTCAGTCGGGTGTTAAAATGTAAAAAGGGCATTTTTCATCAATGATTAGTCTAAATTTTGTACAGTAAGTGTTTGATGTATTTCTAGGGTTTCACAGTTTGTGGTCTTAGGGTAGAGCAACCCTTTAAAACTTTAGTGGTACATAATGCTACAAATATTTTAATAAAATGAAATGATAAAAATGGCTTTATAAATATGATGCAAACTGATTTATTTGTCTGTGTTCCAGAATCTCTTACAGTAGGACTCTCTCTGTGAAGAATTCATGCAAATGTGACACACTGTGTGATTTACTGTAACAATTAAGCTGCACTTTTAAAGGTGTGGGATGAGTTTCCACAGAGACCTCATTGAGGCTGACTGTAAATTGTTCTGAGACGGATCTTTGGCAACCCATATGAAGCAAGGTCTGAATTTCAGCGTATATCTTTTCCTATTGAAGCAATTTCTTTGTTTGTTTGTGCAAATTATGCACTAACATAGAGGTGAAAATTAGCAGATTCATCCACATAGATGAACAAATGAAAATCAGTTTTTAGATTAAAATCTGTCGTACTGTAATTCCAGAATCACCTTGGATGAATCAACAATACCACATTCTTGTTGTTTCCCCTTGACGACATAAAACCAATCACTTTCATTATAATCAACAAAACTGACTGCACCTCAACAACGTTGAATTCTCAGCATGCCGTTGCAACGGTCTTTCATTTTCTTTCGGTTTTGTTGCATTGCATTGCACCGTTTGCTTGCGGTGTATACACTGTGTTGCACGGTACCTTTGAAAAGAAAGCAGCAGCAGTAAAAATGCTGTGGGTAATGCTCTCAGAGCCGCTCAGCTGCTGTCACGGAACTGGGTGTGTGGAGGCAGGCAGGACGACGAGGACGACAAGGATTCCAATAATGACATTTATTGTAGACACAACAAGGCAGGTTCAGGTAGGTGAGACACACACTCGGGGTAACATTAACAATAACCGACACAAATGCTCAGACAGACAGGAACTAATATGGGGTGAATAATTAGAGGCAGACAGGTGAGCACAATGACGGTGATTAACTAATGATTAGACGGGCTAAACCAACACAAAGGGAAGAAACCACAACAAACAGTCCACAGGGGCGTTACAGTACTCCCCCCTCCCGGAAGGTGCGTCCTCGCACCGTAGAAACAGAGGGAGGGGCGGAGGGGGACTAGGAGGAGGATCGTCCAACGGCGGCGGAGCATGTGGTGGAGGAGCCCGAGGCGGAGATTCGGGAGGCCATGGCGGAACAGGGGACTCGGGTTGCCATGGCGGATCAGGGGGCTCAGGAGGCCATGGCGGAACAGGGGGCTCAGGTTGTCATGGTGGAGCCGGGGACTCGGGAGGCCATGGCGGACCAAGGGGCTCAGGAGGCCATGGCGGAACGGCGGGATATGGTGAGGAAACGAGCAGCGATCTCCATGTTGTTGTTTTGGGTCGGTTATTCTGTCACGGAACTGGGTGTGTGGAGGCAGGCAGGACGACGAGGACGACAAGGATTCCAATAATGACATTTATTGTAGACACAACAAGGCAGGTTCAGGTAGGTGAGACACACACTCGGGGTAACATTAACAATAACCGACACAAATGCTCAGACAGACAGGAACTAATATGGGGTGAATAATTAGAGGCAGACAGGTGAGCACAATGACGGTGATTAACTAATGATTAGACTGGCTAAACCAACACAAAGGGAAGAAACCACAACAAACAGTCCACAGGGGCGTTACAGCTGCAGGGTGAAAAGCACTGCTCAAAACATTATCCTTATAGCACACCTGTTAGACTTCCATCTTCATCTCTCTCTAAAATAATATTTAATGATATTTCTCTGTCTTGTGTATCCGGTAGTTCTGCCTTTGTTTGCAATAAATTAAATAAATAGGCCATTGGCAGATTCATATGTCATAGATCATTATCTATCTTCATTACTCATTTAGCAGCAATGACCCCTTTCTCAGATTTATTTATCTGCTATGATTTTCTGGTACATTCTGTCAGCTTCTGACATTTTGATTGTCCTTTACTACCTGTGTAAGCAATTATTAAAAGTCAGTTTGTATCTGCAGGGTCGACTATATAAATGTAAGACAGCACATATTGCATCACACTGAGAAAAAAATTGACATAAAAAGGACCATAATGCTTTATGGGAGTATTTACAGAATATTATATATTTATTCACATTCATTATGAATATAAGAAGTAAATAGACCATATTTATTTAGTGTTTTATGAGGATTTTTTTTAAATTGTCAAATTGTCTGTAAATAAATACATAAATAAAACATATTTATTATAAATTATTCTATATTATAAATTATTTATTTACAGATCTAATCATGAAAACGAAATGCATTTTGGCTGTTTAGATATGTAAACTTCACCATGTCACATATGGAGATTTGGGAGCCTTGTAATCCATGCGTGAACAAGTAATCATTGATGGAACACGTGGACTGAGCAATCTCAAAACTCAGATACTAATGGGGAGAAAGCATTCAACAGAATTTTGCTTCCCCATATTATCATTGCATATAGCAGAGGAATATTAGTTTGGATTTAGATCTGTTTTGCACATATGTATGTGACCAGTATATAAGTGAATTGTGCAAATGCCCAATTGGATACCAATTGATCAAGACGCGTGAAGTGACCAAGTATAAATACTCCCTTATGGGTACTTCTCCTGTTCACAGTGAATAAATCCATCCTTATATTAGGCATTTAAAGGGATAGCTCACCCAAAAATGAAAAGTGCCATCATTTACTCCATTTTCCCCTCATGTTCTTCCAAATTTCCTCTGAAGCACATAAAAGAAGATATTTTTAAAAATCTCTTTTTTTCAGATACTGTATCTTCAGTCAGGTCTTTATATCAGAAGAAGATATTTTGAACAATGCACATTCAATGCACAGGTTTGGAATGACTTAAGGGTGTGTAAACATTGAGAATTTTCATTTTTGGGTGAACTATCCCTTTAAGTAGGAAATCCACCTCTCTTTTGACATAAATATAACCCCTGTAGAGCGTCGTATATCAGAATCTGTTTTAGCTATAAACCATATTCATTGCTGGTATCATTTAAGATGATCCATTTTTAATGAAGCGCTTGAAGATATATCTCACAGTCTGAGATCTAGC